TTACGTAGGTCTACAGGTTGATAAGTAGGGAGGATGGAAGGATGGTAGAAAGGATGGATGGAAATAGGAATGGAAGGAAGGATGGTAGGATGGACGAATGGAAGGATGTTAGAAAGGCTGGAAATAAGGATGGTAGGAAGGATGGATGGATGGAAGGAAGGACGGAAGGAAGGAAGGAAGGATGGTAAGAAGGATGGTAGGGAGGATGGATGGAAGGATGGAAGGAAGGATGGTAGGAAGGATGGTAGGGAGGATGGTAAGGAAGGATGGAAGGAAGGATGGAAGGATGTTAGAAAGGATGGAAGGAAGTATAGTTGGAAGGAAGGAAGAAAAAAGATATCCACCTTTGACTCTCAGGTTCACGATATTTATACTATTTCCCCTTAAACACTTGTATACGCCAGCATCGTCCTGTGAGCTGTTGGTGATAACCAATATGTTGTTGCCTTCAATCCTTATCCTGCTTGATAGCTTGATATCAGTTCCATCTTCGTTCTTCCACTGGCCTTCTCCTTGAGCACTGTTAGAACAGTTAATCTTGATATCTTCACCTTCTTTAACAGTAACATTGGTCTCCGTTTGTTGATTGACAATCACTATGGAAACAGCAATAGATAAGTATTAACTCGATTTCTGGTTTATATATGTAACATATATATAAGCATATATATCATACCTCATTCTTATTGGTTAATATTGGTTCGAAATTTATTGCGAATGAAAGTGATCCGAAGTGATTGCTCGGAGATAAACGATTACGTTGAATGCAAATCAATTTCCGATTCGAAAATAGATCGAATATTCGGATGCAGAATTAGTTTTCTTCGATTAATTGCCAATTAATATCGTAAAAGCCGAAGAACAAAAAGCTGGTAAATTGAAATAACGATAGCCGTATTCGAATTAATGAAGAAATCTTTGCAAATACCATATCTACCAACTTTTCTAGCTGGTAGCGTTGATTTTTAAAAAGAACGGTGTTATATTACATCAATACTACGGTCGTTTATCGGAACGGTTCGAAGCGTCACGTATCTTCCAACCTACGATAAACGACAATTACTAACAAATATTCGTATTCTAACAAATAAACTTACCAAATATATATATATATATATATATATCATTATAGACCTACCTTTGGATACTTACGTACGTTTTCCAGATATCCTGTTTTTTCATTCTGCGACTCTCTTTAAACCTAAATACTTTTTACTTGCAAAGAAATATGGATAATAATAGTATAATTGGAGTTTTAATACTTAGCTTTTGAAGTACTTTATTGACTTTCTTGTTCATCTTTGAATCTTAAATAAATGAATAAATAAATAAATAAAATAAATAAATGAATAAATAAATGAATAAATAAATGAATAAATAAATAAATAAGTAAATAAATAAATGAATGAATGAATGAATGAATGAATGAATGAATGAATGAATGAATGRATGAATGAATGAATGAATAAATAGATATAGATAATAATAATGAGACTTCTTCGTTGTGCTACAAGAGACAGGTCTAAAAGCTGTTCATTAAAATAATTTGCAAGAATTTCTCCAAAATATGACAATTACCTCGAATCTCGGAAAAGTTTCCTGGATTTTTGAGGAAACAAAAGGACAATATTATGAAAAACCTCGGCCCGTATTAAACGGTGAAAGCGACCCAAAGAAAAAGAGAGACAGAGAAAAGAAGAAATACGTGAGTTTAATCACAACAGTGCATGTAACTAAGTTTTCATTCAATTTCTTTCTTCGCTGCTGTCCTGCACTTTTTTCCGCTTGGACAAAGAACAAATTGCATAATATAGGCATTATTTCCTTTCCCATTGTATCTTGCTATTCAATCCCGTTTCATCATATTTCATTTTACGTTTCTCTCCTTTCTCTTTTCTTCGACTTCGTTTAAAATATGAAACGTTGGCAAATTGAAGTCGTTTCTTTTGAATTGAATTTATCATACTGTATGTCATCACTTCTTCATATCATGTATTCAGTCAAAAATTAAGCTAAGTGTGCGGTGTTTGCAATGCATATGTACCTATTCTTTTTGCTTCGAATTTAATAACCTAATTTTCAGAAATCAATACAAGTCAGTGTGCATCTGATACGATGCTATTATTAGCCATCCTGACATCGAGGGGGAAATTGGTCGAATTGGCACTGCATCGCATCGCAGGACTCTCTTAGGGGACAAAATAGACGCCATCTTGACAATACGGTCCCTCAAAAAAATACCACAATGCACTGTATGCCAATGCCAACTAGATACGCGTTACCTCAACTTGTGCACGGGCTTTACAATATTTTGCCTTAAAAGTGTACTCTGTAGATAATGAACTTCAAAATAGTATCTCAGATTTTTGATATCTTTTTTAGATTAAGCGTACTCAAGCGTGCCAAAACCCAAGCAAAATATATAATTCTGTTATGTTATTAGTCAATCAAAGTAAAGTGAACTGAAGCGAAATAAAAAGATGTTATACTGTTTATCGATGCGTCACTCGTGTTGTCAACAAATTATTTTGATATCAAAACACGCACATTCCTATCGTATTTTCAATCTTGCAAGAGTGCAAGATAGGTTAACACAAATGCTTTGGCAAGCGCCCTCCATACTGAAAAAGTCCGAATTCTGACCCGAAGCGTCTGTACGATATTTTATATTTAGCCTCATATGCTTTTTCTTTCAAAGATGAACTCAATTAAATCGAAAGTGAATATCCCTTTCGAAAGTCAGTTATTTCCGGGTGCTTAAGAATATAAAATTTAAAAAAAGATTTCACAACTCTGCTATATTAAGCTTTTCCTTACTAAAATTTTAAACTAAGACATGCATTTATGTGTATACATTAGGTCAAACGTTGGACTTGGAAAAATTGTGAAGTGATTGCAGACTAAGCAATTATTAGAAAGCTTACAAGCCTGATTAGAGGCGACGTGATGTATTCCCTTAATTAGCCGGTAAGTCATGCCATCATTCTTAGGCCTCATGTGAAGCAAAATCAGAATTTCTTTTTTATAAATTTGTAAACCAAAAGCTTGCATATAATGGGCTTACGCTGTCGACTCTCTGTCTCCGCTCTCTCGAGCTCTCTCTTCGTCTTCAGAATAAATATTTACCTTCAGTCGATTCGGCCACGATCTACCTTACGATCTAGCTAAGCATTTTACTTACTTGATGCTGAAGTCTTAGATCTTGAGTTGGCGGCTTTTCGAAGAACGTTAATCTTAAAGCCGTTCGTACGCTAACAACCTAGCGTACTGGAGACTGGCACAGAACAACACTAAGTACTGTTGTTGAGCATAGCCTTAAATAGCTGCATAGTAAATCATGCTTCAAACTTCCGTATACGATTCGACCAATGAGATGACTCGACATGTGTGACTTAGGTCAGTGGGGTGCACTTGGAAACTATAGACTAAATTCAGTAGAAACTCAAATCATCTGTCAAATGTAATCCTAAGGCTTAAAAGGAAGATAATCGTGTCAGCAACTTTACTATTTCCCCAACTTTGTCGATGTCCTGTTGATAATGTGTTTTCCTATCTACTTGTTAGATCATAGTTAATATTAACTATGGTTAGATAAAGTTCTTGACTATGTGTAACTACCGTTCATGAGTGAACGATTTTGTTAACCCCTTGGTCCTTGTCGCGAGGGCCTTCTCAAATAAATTGTTTTTTATTATTGTCTTTATTTCTTACATAGTAATGAAATTGACCAATTAATAATGTAGCAAATCCATAGTCTAATGTATATATTAGAGATCGAGGGCTGAAATGAATTTAGGACAATTTGAAGCTATCGGAAAGGTAATACAGGTAGGTAAAGGTTTTGTTACATCTTGCATGCAGCATCTTGCTTGTTGCTAACTAGGCTTGAAATATATTATTTTCACATGTAAATAGTGTCATCACAGAAGAAAATATACTCGAAAAACGTGAAGACAAAGTTTATAAAAATTTCATATTGTTATTCGCTGAGTTGGATTCACGTTGTCCATAGTGCAATTCGGACTCAGTGTGAAACATACAGCATTCAACACTGAAAACCGAAAACTCATCAACCTTCTTTTGAAGTAGCTGTATATGAGTGAACAAGATGTGGTCAGCTTTGTTGCAGGGGTCTGAAGGGGGTCCTAATCCCATTTCTCAGCCCCCATTTTGACCAAACCACATAGTCTAGTCCCAGCCACTGTTTTGCTCAAATCTCAACTGATCTCATTTCCATTCCCATTTTCGATATATTTTTTTTCTTTATGAATCCCATTCCCAGTGCATAAAATCCCATTTTTCCCAGCCCAAAAAGGCGAATGCCAGATCCCATTTTACCCCTTCATGACCCTCTTGCTGCGTTACATCATCAGAAGGAAGAGAGCGAAAGAGTCGTGGTTAATGAGAATGACCGAATATTATCACGCAAGGGGGTCAAATCAGGTGTCTTTATGATAACAATAGTAATCTTTTGTTTATGCAGGGTAATGAAAATACAAAGTTAATTTAATCCAAGACTTATAGCCCAAGCCCAGGAAATAAAGGGTTAATTGTAGAGACTCCATTCACAAAGGACCAAAATGAAAGCCCTTAATCGACCATAAATGAACACAACATTGATTGAATTCCTTCACATTTTTTAATCAAAACCTAAGACAGCTTCCGGGGTAATCTGTCAGGGCAACGGCTATCTCAAAGATCGAATTGGAATTTAGTGCGAAGAAAAGTGGAGAACTACTTCTTGATTAAAGCGAGACACCCAACAAACTCCACATTAGATGCCTAGATTGAGACTGGTTGCTGACCAAAAAATAAAAAATAAAAAACAATGCTACATCTGCTATAACAACCATGGCGTAATGATAGGATTAAATGGCATTAAATGGCGACAGACCGAGTGCGGGAAGTTAATGTTATAATATTTTTGTTTGGTCTTTTTTTTTTTTTTTTTTTTTGCGACCCGTCTTGTGTCACTGTAAATTCATATATAGCCAGAGGTTCTTAGGATAGTCACGCAATGATGAACCACTCGAAATTTGAAAAACATTCGGCATTTTAAATATTTCCAAATGTTTTGGCTTACAGATTTACTTAAAATCTCAACAACAACAACAGAATAAGAAAATGAATCTTAGGAGTAGCAAGCATAAATCTAGGTTGGTTATTTTCTTTAGTAATTTCCATATATCTGCAAGATTTGTTTATGAAAACATGAGTTGGAATTTGAATTCAGTCACAGTACTCTAACACCATCACTGTTTACCAAGTTCTTGGTATTTCCAATATCGTTATTTTCCCATACAAAATGACAAACATACGTCAGCTTCACAGCGTTGTTTTTATTTCTTTAACAATAAACATTCACTAAAAGCCACAGGAATATTATGTCTCTTTGTGGCCACGGTCCATCATAAGAACTATTAAGGTAAACGTCTTTCAAACCACGATGATTCTTGTAGGAATTCTGCGACGAAATCAGAACATGATGACGATCAGAACATAACCAAATGTTGCTACTGAGAGAAGAATTATATGCCCAAATAAGCATTTGTGATGTGCTAGCGTAGCTTTTCTTATTAATTGTTTTAACAGAACAAAAGAATAGTTTCCGCATAGACTAT